AGCCAGTTTCGCACCCATCTGACTGTTGAATTGTTGAGCCCGTAGTCCTCTAGTTTTACCTTGAGTGCCTCATGCGACACTGAGTCAAAGGCCTTCCTAAAGTCTAAGTAAATGACACCAACCTCATCTCCCTTATACAGATGGTGAGATGAGGTTAGTCAGACATGACCTACCTGTGGCAAATCTGTGCTGGCTGCTATTCAGAATTTTGCCTTCTACAAGTTTACTGTATATGGCCTTCTTGAGAAATTTTTCAAGGATTTTTCCTGGGATTGAGGTCAAGCTGCTCAATCTGTAGGGTTGCAAGAGGTCTGAAAGGCTACCTCATGAATGTGAAATGAATCTGGTAGATGCTTGTCATCCAGTATTCAAAGAAATGCATGAAGTTAAAGTAAAAATAGATGACAAAGTCAAGCATACACATGGCAGTAACCACTATGTACAAGGACAGAGGAAAGCATAATTAACAGCACTAAAGATTAACTGCATGTGCTTTGGGCTATCACAGCTTCATCATAGAGAGATACATTACCATGCCTGCAGTTTTCACCCCGCTGTGCCTTAACACACACACGTGACATGAGTTTTACATTCAAGACTTTGAGGTGCAGTTTCCCAGAAACCCTTGCGCCTATCTATTTGAAGCTTGGCAAGCTCCATCGTCTCAGAAGGGATTACCATCTCTGCAAATTTCATCCAAATCAGGCATCCAAATCAGGCAAGTGTTTCCCCATTATAGCCTATGGGTGAAATGTTGGAACAGCCTCAAAACAGCAAAACTGTTCCACTGAAACAAAATGAAACAGTGGTTTCCAAATGAAATGAAATGATGAAATGAAACACTGCCCCATCAAAACAGTGAAATGGAAGTTGAAACAAAATGGTGCTGTTTCGCACAGCTCTAATTCACACCCTTGTGGACCATCTGTGAAACTGTATGTCTCTGCCCAGTTGTTAGGACATCAAATTTAGTTTTCATGGGAATTCAAATGGTAGTCTCCACCAGTGCAATATAGGTGTGCTGCTGTTCATTAACGAGACTCACGAAACAACAAAAACATAGATGTCAAACAAAGCATGCTTGAAGCAATGGCAGAAAAAAAAAAGGAGTGGGATATGTAGGTCATGAAGCAGATCAGGAGCAGCAAGAGTTAAAAGCCTGCAACTTTCTGTTCAAAGCCTGCAACGTTGTGTGGAAGTCAGCAGAGTGCATCAGATCATTTGGAATTTATTAAAGAACATCCTGAGATGGACAGAATCAGTACAAAGTGGTATAATAGATAAGAGAAGCAGGTAGGATGCTACAACAAAACCTGCTCAATAGAAATCAGTGGTATGTAGGGATGTTGCAATTAAGTTAATTAAGCCATAAATTGTAAGGTGCATGGCACCAGACATGATTGACCATATGTAGAGAATCATGTGGGCTTGTATGTTAGCAGTTCAAATGCATAAAAAGAGTACAACAGCAATGCACTTTGGATTTGTGTTGAACCTTGGACTGTCCCTGCTGTTGCCCGCTCTGATCACCTGGCTGATGGCCTAAGTAAAGGCTAGAGTAAGTTTACCTAGCCACTGCAGAGTTGCTGCATGCTTATTCAAACCAAACTCTAGTAGCACTGAAAATAGGTCATTGGAGGCAGTAACAATCAGTACGAATAAATCACGCACCTTTCCTGCAAGAAAACACACTCCTATTTTATTTACCTTATGTGAGAAAAGTTAACTACTATGCCAAATAAGTTGCTGTACTTCCTTCATAGATGTCAGATTTATTGGGTTTTGCTTTCTTCCTGCTTCTTTTATTCCTAGGTAATGAACTGCAATATTCAATAACACAAAGGTGTTATCTGATCAAAATATAATCTGGGAATGCTGTAAAGTAAAGTTTAAAATCATTTGGGTTCTTTATATTGGCTCTTGAGTTCTGGTCCTCAACAATGTAAATATTTAATTTCATTTTTGGCACTGCAGCTTATCTATATTTCCAGTTCACTTCTATAATACAGTGGCCTGTGTGTTGGCTTATGTGTTTCTTCTTCAATAAGAAGCTCATAGTTACATACTGGGTGCATCTACACAAGACACTTTCCTGCAAATTAGCATAGTTTACTGCACACTAAGCATGTGCCACTGTGCGGGGGGGGAGGGAGATTGTTCCCTGCCCCCACCTTCTACCAGGGCGTCCTCTGCCACTGGAGCCCAGGCAGGGACTATGTCCCCCTGCCCCAGCAGCAGGTAGCTCCTAGCCCTCAGCTCTGAGATCACAATTGAAGCGGGAGCTGGGAGATCATTGTCTCCCAGCCCCTGCTTCACCATTGCAAATGGGGAATGGGGGCCTGGAAGATCCTGCAGAGCCAGAATTGGGAGATAAGGATCCCCAAACACCAGCCCCACATTTGCAGACCTGGCACTGGGAGACGAGGATCTCCCAGTGCCAGCCCCGTGGTCATGGAGCCGCAGACCTGGCACTGGGAGACAAGGATCTCCCAGTGCCAGCCCCGTGGTCATGAAGCTGGTGCTAGGAGCTCCCTGATGGTGGGGCTGGGCAGCCTGTTCCCTGCTCAGCTCACACTTCAGCTCACATTGACTTCTTCGGTCAATGGGCAGACTTTGACTAAAACCTGGAAGCTTCTTCACCAATCACCATTCACCCTTTTGCATATGTTCATTTTGGATTCTGATACCAATTACATGTTGTTTTTCACATTCCAGTCTGTTTTTCTGTCCCAAGTTGTACCATCTTCCACATCCCAAAAACTTCACCTCATTCACAGCATGCAGACTTACACAGACTCACTTGCTGTTTTTTTTCAGAAAATGATTGACACAATTAAGATGGTTACTTAGCATAAGCAAATGGCTGGCTTAGCTATCATTCTGCCTTGTGGTCAGCAGCTCTACTAGGCCACAGGTCATGCCTTTATTCAGCTGCAAATCTAGTGCTCCTCAAGATGCAAATATTGTCACCCTAACAAAAGTGAATTGGAGGTCTTATCCCAAAAGGTCCAGGAAAAATATAGAGCATAACAGGAAGCCTATTTCTCAGGTAAAGCTCATCCTCAAGCTAAGGTCATTTGAACTACCCAGATTCTTGAAATTCTGTTTCCCAAACCTCCCATTCTCATACTGATACAGACCCAACACTGTTGTTTGCCTCAGCTCAGGATCTCCTTCACTTATATTGCCCTAGGCTCCCTTTTTCTTGAGCTTTCTATAATGAGAAGAGGTGATAAACTAGCTTCATAATTTTCCTTTAATAATATTCATTCTGTTCTTTTTCCTAGGAATGGCACTAAGATTTACAGTGAGGTAATGTCCATGCTCCCTCTTTTGTCTTCCTTGTAAAGATCATAGATTCATAGATTCGTAGAAGTAGGGTCAGAAGAAACCTTGTAGATCATCAGGTCTGACCCCCTGCCCTGGGCAGGAGAGAAAACCGGGCTCAAATGACCCCAGCCAGGTAGATGTCAAGCCTCCTCTTAAAGACCCCCGGGGTAGGAGCCA